CCTGAAGCGGCTGCAGGTCCTGGCGAGCACATTCCTGAAGCTTCCAAGGCGACCTGCTTCACATTGGCATACGCACCTCTCCGCATGCCTTCCAAATCCTCTATTTCGTTCCTCAACCTGGCGCAGTCTTGCACATGCCGTGATCGCTCTGTAGCGAAGGCCTTCATCGACTTCTGCAAGTAGGCTCTCCAGGCCTGCTCCTTTGTGGAGAGGTCGCCACGCAGCTTGGTAAGACGCTGGTCCGTCTTCCGAGCAGCATTCAGCGCTTTTTGAACATCCGTAACCAAACCGCTCGACTGCGAGGAGCTTCCTTGGGAATGTACCTCTACGATCGCAAGATCCTCTTCCGTCACCGAGTCGTAGGCCGGGAACGAGGTCTTGTTCTTTGGAGCCTTTTTGGTGTCCGGCCTTGGCGAGCGATATGCACTGGCTCCATGCCAGTAAGAGTAGGACTGCTCCTTTTGCCATGGCGGCTTGCGGCCTCCGCGTCCCATACGGCGCCGAATCCGCTCAGCCTGGAAGGGGTCCGTCCCGTGGTGTTCCGAAACCAGCACTAGTCTAGCAGCACGTCGCGCTCCGGAGTGCAGTCTGCGGCGAGCCCGGGACCTTCTTTTCCGCTGATGTCGATGCCACGCCGGCGAGGAAGCGGCAATGGCTAAAATCAGAGCGACGCGATTTCGCGCCTGGGGCCCTCAGCTATCGGGCGCTGTTGCCCGTGTTCTGAGCCCTAAATAGGGGCCTTAATGATTGGAATAGGATTTTGGGTACTTTATTCTACTACAACTATAAGGAAACCACCAACTAGTATTGGCTATTATGTAGGCCCCTACCTTATTGCCCCAGGCATGATGCACGGAATGAGCATGTGGGTGTTCAAAGCGCAGGGTTTGGTGGGGCATCCAGTGTGGTAGGACTTAGATTTAGATCATAACAACGCGGCGCAATGTGGGCATCTTAATAATCGAGCAAGGTGAGCACAGAAATAGCAGTGGCAGTGCTGGTCGAAGCAGCGTAGATGGAGGAAGGCTGGTGGCACATGACCCTCCCATACGTCTGCAACCGAGCTAGCACATAACGCAAAGATGCACGTTCCGTGCTTGGAAGCCGAGACTGCCCAAACCCTAAGACCTGAACCCCCTAAACCCTAAACCCACCCTTAGTTTCAGACTCTTCTTCAATAACCGGGCCCCGAAAGAACTTCAACCTCTCTAAGATAGACCCTAATCCCTAAACCCTAAACCCACTTTGTAAGGCCAAAAAGACCTAGGCTCTCCCATTGGCGACGTCGGTAGTATAGGAGCCTATATAATTAGAATAGGGTCCAGGGTTTAGGGTTTAGGGTTTAGGGTTTAGGTTTTAGGGTTTAGGGTTTGCGGGCCTAACTAATTGCCGATAATATTCTGGGGGTTCCTTGTTATAGTTGTACGTATTATAACATCTCCCAAAACCCTATTCTAATTATTAAGGTGCCTGTAGTAGAGATACGCCGGGCGCCATCAGCTCGATCTTTCGGGCTCCTGCCTTCTTCCCAAAGCCCTGATGAGGTCCGGCTCCACCTGCAGCACCTGGCTTCGGCCGTGCGTTTAGGGTTTAGGGAAACGCTGCTTGGAGTTCGTAGATACCTCATTCAGAACTCTTCCTCTGGCAGCTATGACCGAGGCTTGCTGCAGCACTGCTGCGTTGCTACTGCATACTACTACTACTACTACTACTACTACTACTACTATACTACTAATACTACTACTACTACTACTACTACCACCACTACCACTGCCACCACCATGACCACCACGACGAACAACACCAACATGGCGAGTACTGATACTAATTTTCTACTACTACCAGCACTGTCTACGAGTAGTCTTTTGATCTTACACCCTAAACCCTAAACTTACGCCCAAATTGAGCCCTGAACCCTAAACCCTAAACCCTAAACCCAAAGTGCGTGCTTACATCGGAGCAATGAGCCGTGACTTGATGCGCCCGGGTTGTCATATTGTACTCTATAGTGACTTTAAGGTTCAGTTTAGGGTTTGGGTTTTCAGGGTTCAGGGTTTGGGGTTAGGCTTTAGGGTTTAAGGTTTAGGTTTAGGGGTTTTGGGGTTTGGTGTTTAGGGGTGATCAGACTGATCAAGCCTAAACCCTAAACTCCTAAACCCTATGCCCCAAGCCCAAAGACGATGACCGAACAGTGAAGACGGCGGCTTAAGTAAACTGCAGGCCGGCTAAGCAACCACAGACTACACCAAATCGCTATCTGCCGGTCTGTACATTGTGTACATTGTGTATATACAAACACATACACATATGCACATCTACATGCGCATACACACACATTTATGTGAATATATATATATATATGTAAACATATGCATTGGTGTCCTGTTGTGTACGTTGCAGTGCCTAGCGGCAGATCGAAGCTAGGTACACCGTTCATGTACATGTCTGAGCTGCAAGACAGAACCCTAAGATTACATGCTGTAGAGACGGCCACACAGCTCTCAGGGTCACTGCAGATCGCTCGAGTCGAGTTGGATAACTTCTGAACTTATCTACAACAAGACGCGTGCCTCAGCCGCAGCCTCAGCAGAAGCTGCCAAGCCTTGTGAAAGCAAAGTCTGCGAGATTTAAGAGCGAGAATGAAGTCCGGCAGCTGTAAACCTCCGCTAATTGAGGTCCACAGAAGCAATGGACGAAACATGAATGCGACCGAATTCACCGAATTCAGGGCAGCTGGAGTTCGCCCGGAGTCCCCTGCTCAAGCTACGAGGGTAGTTCTCTAAATTAGGGTCCCTTGTCAATTGTATGGTACCAAAAAAAAGTACGGCACCCGTATAAAAAGGACCCGAAAAAGGGACCTCAATTTAGAGAACTACCCTTATAGTACCCCTTATAGAACCCAATAAAAACCCTGATAGACCCCTTTAAGGAACCCTAAAAGGGACCCCACGCAGTAGACTCTGAAGGTTTACGGTTTCAGGGTGTAGACGGTTTTACAGTCTAGGGTTTAAGAGTTTAGGGTTTAGGGTTTCAGGGTTTTGGGTTTTTGGGCTTTAGGGGTTTAGGGGTTTCGGGCTTTAGGGTTTAGGGTTTGGTACTGTAGAGGGTTTCAGGGTGCACCGGGTTTCAGGTTTCGGCAGGTACCATACTGCCTGGCACGGTCCTACTAGTATTTCGGGTTTAGGGTTTACGGTTTTGGTTTAGGGTTTAGGTTTAGGGTTTCGGGCTTAGGGTTTAGGGGCTAGTACGAATAATACTAGTAACGACA